AGCTCTTACAAGAGTAGAAGCCAATTCCAGTACACAATGGATGGGGACAATCTTTTTCCTCTTGCCTGTTCCCCAAGGGCTTTTCCCCAACCTCTCCTGTTAATGGCACCGCAGACAGAACCCCCAACTTGATTCATATCCACTCATACTCCCTTCAAACCATCTTCTACATAGTAGCCAGGGCCTTTCATATTTATTTATTTAAAGACAGTCTCACTATGTAACCTCAGCTGTCCTGAAACTCACCATGTAGACCAGCCTGGTCTTGAACTCAGATATCTGCCTGCCTCTGCCTCCTGAGTGCTGGGACTAAATCTGTGCAGCAAAACCAGCCAGCATTTTTTTTCTAACAGGAACATGAGTATGTCACTTCTCTGACCCAGCACTAAATATAACCACCTTTCTCCTAGTACCTATTAAGATATCTAAATCTGTGGATACTCACATAATCACCTCCTGTAAAATGGTGTAACTTTTTTTTTTGTTGTTCACTGTTTGATCATGGGGATATTCATAGATGTATACGTCTCCAGTTTGCTAAAACTGTATATTGTAAACGTATTCACTACTATGGGTAGCAAGATTTGTCTAAAAATGTGAGGAAGGTTTTTAATAAGGAAAAAAAATTCAGTTTTTTCTATTTAAATTACTTTCACATTTTAAAAATTTCAAGTAGACCAATACATACCAATTTATAATTGAGCACTGTCTGACAATTTTGTGTGCCAATGATATAACATTTCCAAGAACCTATACATACCCTTCTGTTGCAAGCCAGGAGTGGTGGTGCACAGGAGGTGGAAGCTGAAGCATCAGTTCAGGACAATTTCAGCTCTGCATCAAATTCAAGGCTAGCCTGGACTACATCAAAGACTTTCAAAAGAACAAACAAAGCCTAACACTGGGCCAGTGAGATGATCCCACAGGTAAAGGCCACTACTAATCATTCAATCCTAGGAACACAGATAAAGATGGGAGTCAAGAAAAATCTGTTGGGTGGCCTGGCAATTTGGAACACAGGATATTATATCCCCATAAAAACTTGTATATAGATGTTCAGAGTACCATTACATATATTAATAATCAAACATCCATTTGTATGTTGATAACAGACAAAATGTAACAGATTCATAATATGTAATTTTATTTAGCCACAAGGAAGACTGAAGTTCTGATAAAAGCTATGGTATAAATGACATGCCAACCAAAGAAAGCTAGACCCAAAGGGGCACATGGCATATGACTCCATGCCCATTGAAATGTCCAGAATAGACAAATGTATGGAGACAGAAAGCAGATTAGTAGTTATAGGGGGTGGGAAAGAGGCAGGGACCGGGAATTATGGCTAGGAGGTTTGAGGCTTCTTTTCAGAATGATGAAAATGTTTTGAAGATGACTAGTGATTGTCTTAAGGATCTATGAATATACAAAAAACTATTAAGGCATACACTTCCATGGGTGAGTTGTATGGCATGTCACAGGATGAGCATCCTTAATCCTAGGATTAAGGAGGAAGAGGCAGGCTGATCTGAGTTCACAACCAGCCTGGATGCATAGTGAGTTCTAGAAGCCAGGGTTACATATTGAGACTTGGCCTTAAAGAAATAAATAACCCCAAATCCAAAACTACATGATGCTCCGAAAGTTTCAGATAAGCAGGATGGTGCATGCCTATAATCCTAGCACTTTGGAGGCTGATGCAGAAGAACCTTGAGTTCTAAGACAGAGGTGAGCTGTAAGCAAGACCCTGCCTGAAAAAACAAGGGCTGGGTGTGAAGAGTAGATGAAGTCCTGCGTGAATGTGTATTGTTGATATGAACACAGAGTACTGAAAACTTCACCTCAGATTCCTAGGAATGGCAAAATCTTCCCCTCGTCTATCTTCAGATGTTGACAGTGTTTGTAGAAAATATGGACCACAGTTGTTTTTTGCCTCCTGAATATTTATAGCCCGAGACTTCCCCTACTGAAAATGGCTAAATCAGCCTCCTCAATTGGTGTGTGTGTGTGTGTGTGTGTGTGCACTGAGTTTTGGAGCTGCTGCTATTATGCCTCCATCAGAGCCAGAGCACATGGCCCACTCAGTCCCAGCTTTTCTATACATGTACCTGTCCTTTCTTCATTCCTTCGTCACACCAGTTGGGAACAAGTTCAAAGTGCTGCAGTTTCAGCAAGTGGAAATATAGGCTCAGTGACAGGGTGCTCATTTACCATGCACATAGAGCACTGGGTTCCTTTCCCAGTACAGCAAAAAGCAAGAAAGCAAACAAATGCAAGATCCCAAAACAACAATGTAGGAGAAAAGAAAATTTAAGTGACTTTGGTTTTGGGTTTTTTTTGTTTGTTTGTTTTTGTTTTTTTTTTTTTTTTTGGACAGTCTAACTCAGGGAGACCCACCAGCCTCTGCCTTTAGCTGGGATTAAAGATATATCTGGCTGTTCGTGTATGTTTTTTGGGTTGTTTTGGAGACAGGTTTCCCTGTGTAGCCCTGGCTGTCCTAGAACTCATTTTTTTTAAAAAAGGATTTTATTTATTTATTATGAATACAGTGTTCTGCCCCATATATCCCTATATATCCCAGAAGAGGGCACCAGATCTCATTACAAATGCTCATGAGCCACCATGTGGTTGCTGGAAATTGAACTTAGGACCTCTGGCAGAACAGCCAGTGTTCTTAACCATTTGAGCCATCTCTCCAGGACCTGGAGCTGGCTTTGGAGACCAGGCTGACCTCAAACTCAGAGATCAACCTGTCTCCCTCAGAGTCAAAAGCATGCACCATTGTGCCCAACTTTTTTTTTTTTTGGGGGGGGGGCGGGATTTTGTTGTCTTTAATAAAATATGCACACAAATCCATTAAAGAACAAACTGAGAAAGTGGACTTCATTGAAATATGAAACTTAAAGCCAGGTATGGTTTATAGCTATTTTATACATAACTCCTAAAACTTAGAAGCAATCAAGATGCTTTTCAAAAGTGAAATGGATATATACCAGGGCATATTATGAAGCATTAAAAACAAGAGTTGTATTGCCACCAAAAGACAATGAGCTATCACAACTCCATACTGCTAAGTCCTAAGAAACCAGAAGTGCTGGTTTGGTCATTGTTGCATGTATACTATCTAGATCCTCGATAAATATTTGGTAAATAAAAGTGCAAGGAAAGAAACATTTTTAAGTTATCCTTGACACCTGCTTTCTTTCACTCCAGAATCTAATCCATTATCACTTTTTCAGATCTATCTTAAATATTTCCAGCACTTGACACATGTCACCACTTCCACATCACCACAGACCAAGCTATACTCATCATGCACTTGTATTATCCCCATTGCCTCCTCACTCCTGTTCTCCTCATGACACAGTAGCTAGGGGAAGCCTTGTACTACTTTCTTTCAAAGAGAACAAACTTCTATAAGGGCTAGACAGTTAAAAAAAAAAGAAAAAGAAAAAAAATTGAGACAGTCTCAAGAGATCCATTGGCCTCTGCCTCCCCAAAACTTTTTAATATAAAGTAGTTAAATGGTGCCAGCCCTCCCATTTTTAAACCGCTGGGAAACATTAAAGTCTGACTGCAAAGCTAGGGATGGAGCTCAGTTGGTAGAGTGATTGCCTAGCATGCATGAAGCCCAGAGTTCAATCCCAAGCACTGTATAAACCAGGTGTGGCAATATAAACTATAATCCTAGTAGTTGGGAGATGGTGGGTAGGATCAGAAATTCAATTCAAGGTCATCTTAGCTACATTGCCAGTTTGAGGACAGTCTGAGATATGTGAGACCCCACTGAAGGAAGGAAAGCAAAAAGAAGGGAGAGGGAAGGTCTAACTGTATCTCTTACTATCTCCCTCTTAACCTTTTCTGTTCAATAATCTCTGCTATCTAGTGGGATCTCCACATCCATAGGCTCTCATCCATGGATTCAAACCACAAGTCAAATTTAGAAGTGGTGCTGGGGATGTGGCACTTGTTTGCATTTTGAAAAAAAAATATTTATTTCAGTTCATAACTGAGAATAGTATGTATAACTAGTGTGTGGTGGTGCACGCCTTTAATCCCAGCACTTGGGAGGCAGAAGCAGGCAGATTTCGGAGTCTGAGAACAACTTGGTCTACATATTGAATTTCAGGCCAGCCAAGCCTACATAAGGAGACTGTTTTCATTGATACTGGAGAGATGGCTCAGCAGTTAGGTGCACTTGCAGAGGACCTTCATTAACAGCACCTACATGGTAGTTTACAACCATCCGTAACTTCAGTTCCAGAGGATCTGACATCTTCTTCCGACTTGCATAGGCACTAGACCAGGCATCCATATCGTGTACATATACACTTTCAGGTAAAACTCACACATATAAAATAAATCTAAAATAAAATAAAGTTTATACATGCAGGCCCATGGCATGGTTCAGAAACAGTTATTTTGCTGCTAAGCCTGAAGACCAGAGTTCCATCCAGGACCACATGGTCCAACAGGTTCTGTCTTCCACATGTTCATTATCACTATCTTTCTCTCTCTCTCACACACACACACACACACTCACACACACACACACACACGTTTAAAAAAAAAAAACAACACAGTACGGAGCTGGAGAGACGGCTCTGCTCAGTGGTTAAGAGCACTGCCTGCTCTTCCAAAGGCCCTAAGTTCAATTCTCAGCAACCACATGGTGGCTCACACCCTTCTGTGATGAGAACTGGTACCCTCTTCTGGCGGCAGGCATACATGCAGGCAGAACACTGTACACATAATAAATAAATCTTTAAAAACGAAAACGGTACAAGATAACATGAGTCTGAACTTAAGGATGCTATGCAGTGGAAGGGACTTGAGCATCTTCGGTGGGGGGTGGGGAGGAATCCTGAAGCGTACTGCCAGCATCCAGAACCGTCCTGGGCACCTGGCAGGTATCGAAGCCTCGTGGAATGAATCACGTGAACAAGGACAGCCCCCCCCCCCCGAGTCCGCGAAGACCAGTTGGACCTGTCACTCCTCACCTCGCTGCCGCCGCGCTGGCCTCTTCCTCGAGGTTCTCATTCTGATGCTCCCCGCTCTCAACAATCTCCTGGGCTTCCTGGTCCCTTAACTCCACGGGAAGCACGTCCACCTGCGAGCACGGCCAGCTCTTGAGAGGCGGCGTGGGAGGGCGCCTTCCCCTGCGTGTCTGCGACCCTCACAAGGGACGCGCTAGCGGGGAGGCGGAACACCCGTGGCGCGCCACGACCTTCGGGCAGGCGGTGAGAAAGCCTAGGCCGGGAGCGGCGCGCGCCTCTAGCCCCCTCCCCAGCCCTCGGGAGGCTGAGGCGTTCGAGGCCGGCCTGGTCCGGCTCAGGCAGCGCGCCGCACCCCCTCCCTCACCTCACAGGCTCCTCCGCCAAGCCCCAGCGCTTCGGCTGGCAGGAGGCGGGACCAACGGTGAGGGACAGCCCCCGGGCCCGGCCCGCCCTCTGCCCCGCCCGCCGCCCGCCGCCCGCCGCCCGCAGAAGGGAAAACAACGCCTCACGTACTCCCTGGCGCTCCATTTCGTCCTTTCCCGCCTCGGCGCTGCCGCCCTCTGCGCACGCCCCGCCCTCTGCGCACGCCCCGCCCTCTGCGCACGCCCCGCCCTCTGCGCACGCCCCGCCCCGCGCACGTGCTGAAGCGCGCCCTGGCCCCGCCCCGCAACCGCTCTGCCTCAGGCACCGGGAGCAAGCGGTTAGGCGCCGCGCGTGCTATGCAGGGCTTGTGCGCCTGCGCGTTTGTCTGTGTGTTGTAGGGCTAGGGGTGTGTGTGTCTAAGGTTATAGAGAGCATGGGCGGGATTCGGGGTCATCTGTGGCACTCAGTTTACAGGGAATTTGACGAATTCATACTGTAATTCCACCCCTCTGCTCTACATTTTTTTTTCTTCCCCAAATTCTTTTGAAACGGGGTCCCATTATGTCCTGGCCTAGGATTCTTTGTAAACCAGGCTGGCCCTGAACTCACAGAGATCAGCATACCTCTACCTCCAGAGTGCTAGAATTAAAGGCAGGTACTCCACGGCTAGTGATACCTGCAGTATTTATTCATTTATTTATTTTGTTTTTTGAGACAGGGTTTCTCTGTGTAACAGCTCTAGCTATCCTGGAACTCAATTTGTAAATTAGGCTGGACTCGACTCAGAAATCTTCCTGCCTCTGCCCTACTTTTGGGCACCTGCCAGCTAAGTCCAAAAGAGGCTGTCAGATTCCCTAGTTATGAGCATCTTAGCATGGGTATTGGGAACTGAATTCCTGTTCCCTGATGCATTTTTATACATTTATATATTTTATACATTTTATCTGTTGTGTGTGTGTGTGTGTGCATGTGCTGCCACCTCTGACCTCCACACCGAGAGGAAGTCCATCTTGGAGGAGTCCACTACTCCCTTCCACTTTGTGGGTAACCGGGATGGAAGACTAGGCAAGTGCCTTCACCCTCTGAGCCATCTGGAGGGAACTCTTTCATCTTTAAATGTTTTTTAAATATACTATTATGTGTGTAGATGTTTTACCTACATTTATTTCTGTCCAGGTGTGTGCCTGGTGCCCACAGAGACCAGAAGAGGGCCCCAGATTCCCTGGGACTGGAATTAACAATTGTGAGCCACCATGTGAGTGCTTGAAATTGAACATTTTTTCCTTATGCCACATACCCAGCAGCTTGGGTCCTGAACCCTGGTTATGTGAGGGAATGAAGAATGGGATCAGGCAGGGTTCTCTAGTGCTATGGCTGTACCTGGAACCTCAGCTGTCTATTAATTCGTGGTACCTGTAGGTGAGTGTGGTACCTGTAAACATCAGGAGAGGAAGCTTAAGTTGCCAGACTCTGAAGGATTTGCCGTTCCTCTAGAGCCTGGCCCATAAGGTATTGGCATTGACAGTTAACAATGGGTCAAGTGCTCTTGGACTCCTCCAGGCCCACATCAAAATACATAGAAGTTTCCTGTATTCTCTCTCTCTCTCTCTCTCTCTCTCTCTCTCTTTTTTTTTTTTTTTTTTTTTGAAGACAGGGTTTCACTGTTTATTTTTTTTTTAATGACAGTATTTTTTATTTAAATTTGAAACAAGCTTGTTTTACATGTCAATCCCAGTTCCCTCACCCTCCCCTCCTCCCCTGTCCCCCTCCCAACCCTCATCCCATCCCCTGTCTGCTCCCCAGGGAGGGTGAGGTCACTGTGTATTCTTGACTGTTCTGAAACTTGTTCACTTGTTCCATAGACTGGGCTGGCTTCGAACTCACAGACATGCACCTGCCTCTGCCTTCTGAGTGAATGGGTTAAAGACGTGTGCTACTACTGCCTGGGTCCCTACATTTTCAAATAAAATATTATGTAGCTCAGGCCATCCTGGAACTCAGTATGCATCTAGGCATGCCTGTAACCCCAGCATTTGGAGGCTGAGGCAGGAGGATCTTCAGTTTCCAACCAACTTGAACAAAATTGGCAGACTCACACTTAAGAAAAAAAATCTTATCTTAAATACTGAGGCTAGGAACAGTTAACATGCCTGTGGTCCATGCTATTTGGTTAACTGAAGCAAAAGTGATTAGACCCAGGAGTTGGGGCTAGTCAGTCTCAGCAACACAGAAGCCCTGTCTCAAAGGGGGGGGGGGCAACCCTAAGGCTATAGTTCGGTAAGAGCATTTCTAGCATACACACCTAGGTTTGACCACCAGAACAACACACACAAGTGAGTGATATATTGGAATACATGTGTGCAAAGGATCAGCGCAGGCTCAGTGGCACTAGAAAGGCTCTCTGGCAGGATAGCAGGGACTAGGAGAGGCCATGGACAGAACACCAAAAGAGTAGCAAAGGCCCTAGGGATATCTGTCACACTGTCCACATAAGGAGGGATGCAGGAAGGTCCCAATCACATTGCATAACTTCTGAACCAAGCTGTCATAACTATAAACTAGGACAAATCTTCACACCTACATTCTGTGGAAAATGACTATGAATCTAGACTTTTACCAGCTGGGCAATGGGAAAATTGAGTCTTTTATTTATTAGACAGGTTTCTCTGTGTAGCCCAGGTTTTCCTGGAACTGGCTCTGTATATCAGGCTGGCCTCAGAAAGTGCACATCGTACCACACACATTCCCATTTATTACTGCTGTGATAAAAATCTAAAACAACATTATAAAAATTGCAACAATAAGCTAGGTATTGGTGGTACATGCCTTTAATCCCAGCACTCAGGAGGCAGAGGTGCAGGTGGATCTCTGTGAATTTGAGGCCTACAGAGTTCCAGGACAGGCTCCAAAGCTATGCAGAGAAACCCTGTCTTAAACACCCCCCATATCCACTCCCCAATAAGTTGCAAAAATAAACATCCTGCAGATCCTAAAATTATTGACAGGAGGCAACAAACTTAAGTGCTGCCAAGCATTGGTGGTACACACATTTGATCCAGAGCTTGGGAGACAGAGGCAGGTACATCTCTGTGAATTTGAGGTCAGCCTGGTTTACTGGGCTAGTTTTAGGACTGCCAAGGCTACACAAAGAAACTCTGTCTTGAAAAAAGAAAGAAAAAACCAAACAAATAAGCTAAGTGTGGTGATATACACCTATAATCTCAGTTCTTGAAAGACTGAGGCAGAATCTTAAATTTGAGGCTAGCCTGGGCTTATAATAACCTATGTAGGCCAGGCTGGCTCTGAACTCAGAGATCTGCCTGCCTCTGCCTTCTGAGTGCCAGGATTAAAGTTATGTGCCACCCAGCCTAAAAAATTATTTAATAAATAAAGACATGGACAAAGATAAAACAACCATAAACATAAAAAACAAAAAATACTTTAAAAATCAGCCCCAGAATGGGCCCCCCCCCAGACTGATAGCTGGGAATCTAGCATGGGACTGACTCAGGCCCCTCTGAATATGGGTCTCAGCTAGAAGGACTGAGCAGTCTAAGGGACTTCAGACAGTGGAACCAGAATGTATTCCTGTTGCAAAAAGGACCTTGCAGACACATCCCCCATGGAGGGATACTGCCTTAACCTAGAGACAGGAGAGAAGTCCTAGTCCCTACTTCAAATGACTTGACAGATTTGCATGACCCCACCTGGATGGCATTGCCCTACATGTGGAATTGGGGTGGGGGGGGATGGGAGGGGAGGGTGGTCAGGGTGCATGTGAGGGGGCAGAAAAGGTAAGAGGGAGGAAGGGAGGGAGGGAGAGGGAACTGGGATCAACATGTAAAATAAAAAATAATTAAAAAAAAAAAAAAAACCAGCCCCAGAAAAGCAAATTAAAATGCAGGTGTCTGACACTTTATGCAACTGATTCCTCAAAGTTCATGAGTCTCCCTCTTTTTTCGGACACAGTCTAAGTATGTGGCCCAGGCTGGCCTCAAACTCATGATGTCCCTGCTTCAGGTGCTCCAACAAATGGGAGATTTGAATGTAAGGGAAAATGAAGTGCGTTCTCTCACCCCACACCCTTGCTCCTACTGAGCACAGGAATGCTGGCGTTTAGGCATCACTTACTACATGCTCAGTTCACTTGGAGAGGAGTTTTAATGTTATTTACTTAAAAGAGGACTCGGCACTAGTTAGTGATTAGTAAATGCTGTGGCAAGAGGCTGGCTCGGGCACTTAAGTGCTTGTTGTGTATGAGTTCATTCCACAGAATCTACATTAGAAATAAGGAATCTACATTTATAATCCTAAGAGTTAGAGAGATGGAGGCAGCCTGCCTAACTGGTGAGCCAATCAGAGTTCCTGTCTCAAAGGACAGGGACAGTGTTCCTAAGGGTAACACCCAAGATTGTTTTTCACGTGTACCTGAACAGAGACCCACATCCATTAAAAATGTTGAGTGGAGCCATGCACCTGCTTGGGCTGCCTGAGACCTGAAGTGCTGACTCCCAAACCAAGCACTGCATGGAATGGAGTGAGGCAAGGCCCACAAGTCACCTAATGAAATGAGTAACAAAGAATCCTAAGGAAAGGAAGCACATGAGGCAAAGTGCCCACTTTATTAGACAACAGCTGATCCACAGGGCCCAAACCCACTACAGGCACCACTAAAGGCCAGCACAAGAAACCTGCTTCCTGTACTTTGGACCCTGCCCCTGGGTGGGTGAAACAGAGGAGTGAGCTGGCCTCACAGAGGCCTCATAAATATTAGAGAGGTCACTTGTGGGGGATGCACAGGTACTGGACAAGGCTCTCTGGGGCAGCCAATATCATGCAGCCTCCTGTGTTTGTGGGCACCTGGGCTCAATATCCAACCGGCACACAGGGCTGTCGTACACCATCTGCAGGTTCACCTTGTGGCCCACCAGCTCTCGGATGTTATTGATGCCATACTTGATCATTGTTGGGCTGAGAGGAGAAACGGAGTTTAACACTAAGTCAGATCAGGCTATCTTTTGCTTCTCACAGGCTCCCATCTTTCTCAGAATGAATGTTTTCCCCAGGGTGAACAAGATGTAGTACTATCAGCCCAGACTTGCCTCCCATTTTCCCCTGTCCCCACACCCCATGCTTAGTCTAGCCTCAGAGTCTTTGCTCTGGCTGTGCCTTGTGCCCGGTACACTCAGCTAGAAACCTTCACTGTTTCCTAGGCCTCCGTGAAGCCTTCTTGATCACCT